AAGATGTTTTCTGACTATTTGTGACTGCATTTTCACATTTTTGGCATACTAGAGACACTGTCTATTGGTCTTTTGTTAATTCTGCATTAGAAATCATGTTCATAGGATCCACGCATATTTCCAATCCCAACGTGCATTAGTGATCATGTATTTAGGATTCAATTTGTATGAATTAACAAACTTTTCTGGAAATTTGCTTTAAAAAATCTGCCCACGTATGATATATAGATACCTTGCCTATAGGAAATAAAAATCAGTTTCAACTTGGACACCATGCCTATAGGAATAAAAGGAATCAGTTTCGAAACCTAGAAATCATGTCTATAAGATTTAAACTAATAGATATCATGCCTATAGGGTGAAATCAGTTTGTGAACTTAGAAACCATACTTATAAAGGTTTAAATCTTGTCAACGCTTAGAGATCATGTCTATAGGATTTAAATCAATTCTGCAAATTAGAAAGTATGCCTATAGAATCTAAAAGGGATAAAACATGCCTTTATGGGTTAAAATCAGTAACTCATTTAGAAACCATATTATAAGTCTATAATTAAATAATTCGCAGAAACCATGCATATAGGACACTGTTAACCAGTTCCGAGTTTGACCAATTTTGGGTTATCACGTAAGTAAAATCTGTAGGGATTGCTAATGATTTTGGGCCTAAAAACAGTGACATCTTATTACCTGAAAATGCCCAGATTCAAAGCTTCATAAAATCAGTAGGCAAACCAGTAGGTCTCGATGCTCGCCTTAATAAACTGCTTCTTTATATTCTATTCTGCTCATCTAGATATCCTGCCTATAGGATCCTAAATTAACAATGTTTGCTGATTTAATTGCGTGCATTTGTTGTCTATTTGTGGAGGTCAATGTGAGCCCCTATTTGTTCTTTACATGAAATCCTATCTGAATTTTGTCCATCGCCTAGATTTTCTCATTTTAAGCAACATAGGTCAGTGTAGAACCACCCTAAATAGAGGTCCTAAATACCTCCAGGACCATAGGTAAGGGACGGGTAGTGCACGCATAGGATACAATTTAGAATCAATTAGTGCGCTTAAGTAATAACTTAAAGATAGTAATTGGGTAGTAAAGGAAATGATTGCCCATGCGCTAATGCTATGAGTAAAACCCCGACTTGAGGGAGTTGCAAAGCATTTCATGGAATGATCCTATAGGTTAAAAACTTCGGACCACCCATATACTCCTGTGTAAAAATAAGTTGAATATTGTATCTGTCCAAATTATTTTTAAGACTAATTCGCTTAATTTAAGTTCGGTCGGGACCCACCGTTGTGGACCTCGAGGGGTGCCTAACACCTTCCTCTCAAGGTAATTTTGAGCCTTTACCCGATCTATGGTGATGTAAACTGGTTATATGAGTTAATTGCTCTAGGTGACCTAACGCACCTTAATCCGTTAAGTGGCGACTCTTTCAAATCCAATTCCCTACACTCACGGAAAGGAGTTGTCCCAGAAAATGTCGAAATCCGATTTTGCGAGAAAAAGGAGGCGTGACAATAACCACAGTAAAGAATGCTAGGCGTAAAGAGAACAGGTCAACAAGGAAGGAACTAATATTCCACAATGATTCCACAATATATAGTTCGGCAACAAGGAAAAACTAACACGAGTCAAATAGTTCCAAATAAGGCAAGTCAACTAAAACATGGGATAGCTAGACTTTTTTAAGGTTGGGCAATTACAAAGAATATTCGACAATTCAATTAAAGATAGATAGTGGAAAGGTAATCATAACCTCAATTAAGCCTAAACAATCATAGGAGGAGATGGTGATAATTTCAAATAAAGATAAGCAATTATGAAGAGATAGCATGACAATAAAAGAGGTAAAATCTTCAGTTAAGTCAAATAAGAGTCAAATAGGCAATAAGAGTGGATCCTAAAGCAGTTAATTCTAATTTAATCATGTAAAGGTAAAACTAGTAAGTAGGAACTCAGTCATATCAAGAACAACTTCATACACGGTGAATATAAGGATCTAAGAATCTTAAAAGGTAAATTTTCCAAAAATAAGTCCGAGCACGCACTCGTCACCTCGCGTGCACGAACTACAATCAACATAGAAGACTCAAATCCAAAGGAAAAATTCCCCACACAAGGTTAGGCAAGATACTTACCTCAAAGAAGACAAACCAATACTCTAAAATAAACTTCTCGGGTGAAAAGACCTCAGGACGGCTCAAATCTAACCAAAATAACTTTAAAGCACAACTAAAAATCATAAGAAACTATTCCGGATCATAAAGTCTCAATTTTTAATAAAATTAAAAAATCGGTCCAAAAGTCGACCCTCCGAGCCCGCACCTCCGAACCTGGCAAATTTTAGAAAAATCGAATACCCATTCTGATATGAGTTCAACCATACAATAATTATCAAATTCCGATATCATTTGGCTTTTCAAATCATCATTTTTCATTTTGAAAATTTTCTTCAAAAACCTCCATTTTCCTCAACTCAAAACTTAAATTAAATGATAAAAACAAAGATAAAATTATGGAATATAATAGATTCTAGTTGAAGACACTAACCCAATCAATTTGCTTGAAAACCCCACAAAGAGTCGCTCAAAAACGAGCTCCACAAGTCAAAATATGATAAAAATGGCCTAACCCTCGATTTAGATGATATATATCATGCCCAGGTCTTTATGCATCGCGAACGCGGAGAAAGGATCGCACTCGCGAAGAAGAAAAATGGAAGCTTCCCAGTTGTTCTTCACGAATGCAATAGAAGTCTCGCGAACGTGAAGAGGAAAGTGAGGCTGTCCAGAAAGAACTCTTTGCGAACGCGAGGGAAAGAGTGCGAACGCGATGAAGGATTTTGAGGTAGTCAGCAACAACACTTTGCGAACACGAAAGGCAGTTCGCGATCGCGAAGAAGAACACCAGAAGACAGAAAACAGCAGTTCAAAAAAAGGAGGAATTGACCCGTAGCCCATCCGGAATACCCTCGAGGCCCCCGGGACCCCGTTTAAACACACAAATAAGTTCTATAACCTAACCCGGACTCGCTCGGGGTCTCAAATCATATCAAACAATGCTGAAAACGCAAATCGCGCTATGAATCGAACTATGAACTTCCAAATTTTCCAACTTCAAAAACTCATACTGAAACCAATCAAACCAACCCGGAACGACGTCAAATTTTGCAGGCAAGTCCCAAATGGCAGGACGGAGCTGTTCCAACTCTCAGAATTGCATTGCAACCCCGGTATCACAAAAGTCAACTATGAGTCAAACTTCTCCATTTTTCAAACTTTAACTTTTCCAACTTTAGCCGAAATGCCTCAAATTACCCTAAGGAACGCATGCCTAAGTCCAAAATTACCATACGAAGCTATTGACATCATCCAAAACTCATTCCAGAGCCGTTTACACAAAAGTCAAATTCCGGTCAAATTCTCACTGCTTAAGCTTCCACAACTAGATTTCCTTCTTCCAATTCAACTCTGAATCATCCTGTAACTGAATTCAACCATGCACGCAAGTCGATACACATAATATGAAGATGTTCAAGACTGTACGCCATCGAACGAAGCTTAAATTCTCAAAACGACCGGCGGGTCGTTACATCAAACCTAAACAAAGCATTTAAAAAATCTACCTATTTAAAAAAAAGGAGAGGCCCAAGCAACCTCTTAAAGCCACCTAGCTAGTTCTGCCAATTTTAAAAAAAGAAGCCCAATGGTTTCAGAAGTTCATTTTTTCTTAAAAAAATAAGAAGCCCAGCTGTCCAGGCATCATTTAGTCCTTAATATTATTTTAAGCATTAGGGCATGAGAAACTTTCTCATCTTCTTTCTTTAACTAGCCGCCGCATTTGTGTGCCTACTCTTTTTTTGGGATTAGTAAGTAAATCAAATTAAGTAGAGAAAATCCTAAGTTTCTTTCTCTGTTTTGTTTTCCAGCCGCCACCTTGAAAGAGAGAGATCATTGTTTCTTCTCTTCTCTGTGTCATGGTCTTCGGAGCACCAAGTTCCAACATAACCCTCCTTTTTTGGATTTAAGAAGAGAAAATACTTTTCTTCTCCTTTTCCTTTATTTATTGGTCAATACCTCTATTAATGGAGCACCAAGTTCCATCTCTACTTGATGTAAAAAAAAAGTCCTGCTAATGGAGAAGCCACTTTGCTTCTTCGTTTTTTTCCATGACTTCTTCATTGGTGGCGCTCCTTAGCGGAGCTATTTGGAACATCGAAGGTCAGCCGCATCTTAGACGGCGACGAGGGCGAGGGCTAATCGGAGAAAAAATAATTTTTTTGTTTTATTAGTTTTGAAAAGAAGAATCGACTAACAGAGTATCTTCTTGATTAAAAAAAATAAGCACTGATTTAAAACTTTAATTCAAATCAGTATATAAATTAGATTTATTGTAGCCAATTGCACACAAATTAAAAAGAACAAATACTTTTAAATTTTCTCACATCTATAGTTTTATTTATTCATTTATTTATTTATTTATCATATCCAAAAACTGATTTCATTGAACTAATAAAAAAATATCATACAACAGATAACCAATCAATTGCAAAGTGAACGTACAAAATTATACATATACACGATGTTCTAGATTCACACGCGCGCGCGCGCGCGCACACACACACACACACACA